TTTAGTTTCAGTAGATATCCTAGAATATGATCTTTAGTTTCAGTAGATATCCTAGAATATGATATTTAGTATCAGTAGATATCCTAGAATATGATATTTAGTTTCAGTAGATATCCTAGAATATGATCTTTAGTTTCAGCAGATATCCTAGAATATGATATTTAGTTTCAGTAGATATCCTAGAATATGATATTTAGTTTCAGTAGATATCCTAGAATATGATATTCAGTTTCAGTAGATATCCTAGAATATGATATTCAGTTTCCGTAGATATCCTAGAATATGATCTGTAGTTTCAGTAGATATCCTAGAATATGATTTTCAGTTTCAGTAGATATCCTAGAATATGATATTCAGTTTCCGTAGATATCCTAGAATATGATATTCATTTTCCGTAGATATCCTAGAATATGATCTTTAGTTTCCGAAGATATCCTAGAATATGATATTCAGTTTCAGTAGATATCCTAGAATATGATATTCAGTTTTCGTAGATATCCTAGAATATGATCTTTAGTTATCGTAGATATCCTAGAATATGATCTTTAGTCTCTGTAGATATCCTAGAATATGATCTTTAGTCCCTAAGAAGATATCATAAAAAATTATCTTTAGTCCCTTAGGATATAACCTTGTATACCAGGTAATTCCACTATTAGTGACAGGGGGAAATAATATAGCCCTGTATAGTGTATACCTGGTAACTCCACTATTAGTGACAGGGGGAAAGTATATAACCCTGTATACCTGGTAACCCCACTATTAGTGATAGGGGGAAAGAAAATAACCAACATGTATACCTGGTAACTCCACTATTAGTGACAGGGGGAAATAATATAGCCCTGTATAGTGTATACCTGGTAACTCCACTATTAGTGACAGGGGGAAAGTATATAACCCTGTATACCTGGTAACCCCACTATTAGTGATAGGGGGAAAGAAAATAACCAACATGTATACCTGGTAACTCCACTATTAGTGACAGGGGGAAATGATATAACCCTGTCCTCTGCATCAACAAGACAAGGATAAAGTGGATACCGGTCTAGCATTGGCAGATACTGATGAACACCTAAATTTATGTTTTTATGTTTAAGAACAAAAAAGAGATAAGAGTCCGCATAAAAAAAGCCGACTCAAATTCGGCTGAATTCTCAACTAAAGGATTTTAATAACAAAAATTTTGTGCATTTTCCAAGACTTGCCGTCTGTTTGACCAACGTAGAAGAATTTATGTACAGTTGACTTTTTTAACGATAATTAATAAAATTATTTTTTCTAAAAATGGGTTGTCATTACCATAACATCATAACATATAAGAGACAACCCGACTTGAAGCGTTTTGATTTTTGATTAGCAAGAAACGTGTATTGCGGACAAATAATCGGTTTTATGACACTTCGCATTAGACTTCATTATTATTATTATTATTATTATTATTATTATTATTATCTAATGACATTAATTAGCATTAGTTTTGAGCTTTTTTGGCTTAAGCATCGATTCATATAAACATCAGATTCATCAAGTAAAAACGTGAAGGAAATTTTAGCTAAAAGTTTGGATTATTCTGGATCTCAGGGACATCATTGAGGTGTTGGAAGAACTTAAATGGGATATTATGAGTATTTGAAACAATCCCTTGAAAGAAATTAAGAATATTTCCCGCGTAATTTACCGGATATATTGCTTCGTTTCTTCTCCTTCCGGAAAGCATCTGCTTCCGCCTTCAGTTTGTCAACCAACTAAATTCAAGGATTATTTAAAAAAACAAATGCTTCCGCCTTCAGTTTGTCAACCAACTAAATTCAAGGATTATTTAAAAAAACAAACGTTCCTTAGTTTTATTTCTGGTTACCACTTCATCTTTATTATATTCTAGCTTGAAAACCCAGCGTTGTCCAGGTTACTCATTGTTACTACCGTCGTTTACTCGCACTTAGTCGTAAATTATAAAAGTGGAAATATTCAACTTTGAATCTCAAAATCTAAGAATATATACATGGTTCTCCCGAGTTCCCTAGTAAAAATTTGAGGCAAATCGGTCAAAGGGTTCATGAGTGATGGCCGGACAGACAATAAAAAATACCGCTGAACCAATCGGGCCCAAATTTTTTGAGACAAGGTTTATAGCGCAATGGAAAATGTTGCCAGGACAAAAGCGCAGACATAAATCATTTTTGAAAATGTACCAATTTAAATTGAAAAATCCGCAATTTTTTTTTTTGGGAGAATTGATGACAATATTGCGACACTAAAATGTTCTAAAAACAAACCGAATTTGTTGTTGCTATAGGTGTTAAGAGCTACGTTATCATTAAAAACATGTTTTAGCGAGACTGTTAACGATTCACAATGATACTTATATTCATATCTAAACAAAACTTCATCATTGTCACTAATGCACAAATCCGAAAGTCGCAATTTTATATAGATACCACAATTAATATTTTCCAATATTTAGATAGAGGAAGGTGGGTACTATTATGAATCGAATATGCATTTCTTAAAGAAATGTATCTTCCTGGTCATACCTTAGATGCCCTGATAGGTTTTCCCCCGGAGAGAGGTTCAACCTTGAAGGAAGTAGGCTCCAGAGCTGTATACTTTAGAGGACCTTTCACTGCTGATAGATCATGGGTTGCTATTGTTGCCAGGGTTCGATTCCCACAAACATCCTGCAAATATTTCATTGAAATCAGGCTCTCAGGGTGTCATACCCATACTCCCCTATCCAACTAAATTAGGTTTATACAAGGTAATCAGGCAAGAAAAGTTAATTGCTGTTGCGTATTCTCTGAATACATATTGAAACCAGTCCTCTATGGGCAGTGTTTGTAAACCAGAATATATCCGTGCTAATCTAGTATCCGAGGAGGATAAAAGCATTTAATTTAGAAAATTTTGATAATTCACATAATAGTTTCCTATGACCAAATTATTTCATTGATTTATTATGTGTAAGGTGGATCCTATGTCAGGCTGTGACATCAGTCTTGTGTTTACTTTACAGCTCAGAGACAGTACACTGCAGTACCAAAAATGCGTACACCACCTCTGAGATAACTATCTTTACATTATAATCCTTTGGGTTTATAGAACACATTAAATTATTACACATATCACATATCACACCTTCACACTAAAGGCCATCAAAATGTAAAAATCCAATTAACAAAACCCATTAACATGATCAAAATTGTACAACTACAAATGTTCATAGGAATAAAAATATTAAAGTTATAAAAAAGAAATGTGTCCATAGGCAGCATCACAGATAAACTTATTTGAATCGATTAAGAGTTTAAAGCTCCAGTAAATCTTGCCTTGAATAGATTTTAAGATCGGTAAAATAAAGATTTCGATATTTTTATGAAGTATTTAATTTATACTATATTTGTTACCTTGTGAAGCTTAGTTTGTAGGTTTAAGAACTTTCTAAAGATAGAGTTAAATCGTACGCATGAAAAAATACATTAAAACAATAATTTCAATATGAACATCGTTCCATAGATTGGCGAAATTCACTTTTTGCTGAGTTTAGTGTGAAATAGAACGGTTAAAACTTAAATGGTTAGATCGCTAGATATGTTATGCAGATTGTAATGTGATTAAATTCATAAAGACATCAGTAACATTTTTTTTCTATCCACCAAATTAACAATTGTCAGCTTTTAAGAGATAAATTAAATTTGTTGATTAATTAACTAATTAATTAATTCATTAATTAAATAATTAATGATATAACAAGTATATTTAATGAATTATTTCACTAATTTACTAACTAATTGACAAATTAAATATGTAATTGATAATTTAATTAATTGAATGATTGGTTGACTTAATTATATCCCTAAGGTTATCTCCTGTAAGGTTAATATTCTTCACAAAGCAGATTACAATGAAAGGTCTCACGTCACGAACTGAACAATCATTAAACTTTCTACTTTAAGTGAGGGTTTTCAACAACTTTAAAATAGGTATAAGTTCTACCAACATCCAGCAGGATTGTGAACGAATAAGCCGCACAGAACCGCAAACTCGATTCTGATACTCCAGTTTTGAGTTTTAAGGAGTTTGTACTATAAAAAGATATGTTTATAGAAAAAACACCCTAACATTAAAAAATGTGTCTTAATGATTGGTCGTTCCTGGTATTTGTGTGCTAACTTCTGGATTGGACTCCGCTACGTTCAGGACGGTCATCTTCTCACAGAGTTCTTCAACCTCCACCTTCTCTCCTCCCCCTCCTCCACCACCTCCACCTCCACCTCCTCCTCCTTTACTCTTCTTACCCTTCTTTCCTTTGCCCTCCTACATGTCAACATTAAATGTCGCTGATTTTAATGATCAAAAACTGCTAGCTTAGGCCTAATAGAAATAAACCCGGCCAACCTTGATTGTGTTTAGAGGTGATGATTTAGACTAAGTCTGGGATCAACTTAATATGAAAATAAAAATCCTTAGAATAAAATCTTTTATTTTTGGTTTAAACTAACATTAAATTCTAGGAAAAATTAGACCCATCATAACCATCCAAGGCTGAGGACTTTTTGTCTCAATGACAACATAGTCTGGAGTCCTGTTTTCTTGAATTATTTAACTCGTAGCCTATGAACCGTATCCCAAAATAAAAACAACAAATTTGTTCCGAAAGCGGCTTGTAAATATCTACATGAGCTACTGCGCAAAATGATAAGAAAATGATCTAGAATTCATCCCTTTCCAACATTAAATCCACACGTTCAAAAAATTGTAATTCAAATCATTCTATTTATCACAATATAGCCAAAACTTCTGACCAATGGAATATTTGGTAATTATGCAGAATTTCAGTAGAAATAAATTATTAGAAGCAGTATCCAAGTCTTTCAACAAAACTTTAGAGCCCACTGAATATTACAAAACACAAAAAAAAACATCGTGAAACAGATTTTTCAAAGTCTCATTTAATTTACAATTGAGAGAAAAACTACTTTTAATTTAAATAATCCATGTAATTTCTTTTACCTTGGCTCCAGCCTCCTCTCCACCCTTGTCCCCATTCTGCCGAATATATTCAAGAACAGACTTGGTCGTCTTCTGAGCAGCCATCTTCTTCAACCTGTTGTCTGCCAGGGGGTTGTTCAGGAGGCACAGCTCCTTCAACTTCGCCAGCTCACCTACAGTGTCATAAGGTGTTTACGCCAGAGAATTTGATGGATCAGGGATAAATAAATACTTTTCAAAGGGCTCACTCGACCAATTTTGCCTACAAAACATCCAGAGCGCAGCGAGGCATGTTTGGTAGGCAAAATTGGTCGGGGGAGCCCGTTGTTAAATAACATTTTTAATTTCCCGAAAAAAAAGTTGTACACTATTTTAGATGAGAATTTTAGAACAGGTGGTTAGTTTACATGACTGTCCAAAGGTACGTTTAGTAACTTAACCAGTAACCACCCTGTTTTGGGGAATCATAAGTCTGTAGAAAGCGGTAAATTTTATTAACGGATTTTTGAAAACAAAAAATTAAACAACTTAAAAATAATTCTCTCTTTTAAAAGAGACTCAATTTACCCACTATTTTAATAAACATTTCATAGGATTATAAATCGCTAAATGGGGATTTTAAAAGAATTTTGGAAATAAAAACATATGTGGGTAAGAAGTATGAGCTAGGGTAAAACTTGTAGTATAAGATTAATTTGTATCCCCCCCCAAAAAAAATCTTCCGATTATCATTCCCTTTCCACTAGTGAAAAAAGTTAATTATGAAACTTAATAGCAATGTGGAAAAAAAGAAAAATACTCTACCAAGCTGCTGTGGAACTGCTTTGAGCTTATTATCTCCCAGGTCAAGTTTCTTCATTGCCGGCCATGTTGTTAGGATTGCGCCGGTCAAACCGGAGATCTCATTCCGGCTTAGGTTTAGCTCCGCTTTACAAATCAGTATATTCAATACACAGTAGAAACATGCAAGATACCAGAAACAAAAGAAAACCCTGAACATTTATCTCAACTAGGAAAATAAGAATAACTCATTCTAGCCAGGCAGAATGGTTGATCAAAAGAGAAGTTTTACCGATAAGAGACCAGGTACCAACTTTAATGAATAACAAGACATGGCTGAACTGATTCGCGCAGATGAGGTTCTTTTACATCTCTTAAGCTTGAAATCGCAAACTAGAAAACTGGTTGAACTCGTCGAGAGCGTTTTCAGCTACTTCGCGAAATTCATTAAACGTTGACACAGTTCTCCTTTGCATGCAGCAGATCCCAATCGGGAATTAATGCTAAATTCTAAGCCTGTGTACATTCTTAGCAAAGAGTATCTTAGACTGTAAGCTCAGTCCACATAACCCCCCCCCCCCCTCCCCTCTGTATAACCATTGCTTGCAAATAAGCACCAAACACCACCTTAAATTTCGCTGTACCTCGTGTAATTCAGGCTGTAAGTGATTAGTTGTTTGATTAAAATTGATCAAATAACTGATTATAAAGTTCCTAGGTGTTCTAGCGAAGTGTTCTCCAACTGGGATATATCGGTCAACTCGTTTACACTGAGGTCAATACTTGACAGCTTTGTGCACTTCTCTGCTCAACAACATTCATTTACAATTTTCTTTTTATCAAGGTGGCTTCTATATTTCCAATGTTTGTTGGTTTGTGCACTTTTTTTAATGCATTGGACACTGACCTACGGGTTATCCGACATAAATACCGAATTCAAATCATAAGTTGCAGGGATGGCCTATGACTCCAGTAGTGGATTGGAGTTTCAAGAAAATATTAAATAGTTTTTATTCCCTGTGTTAAATCGACTTCCAATTATATCTTAGTCTAATTCCGATCCAACTCCACTTACCCTGAATTAACCTAACCTATTTAAGATCTAATATAGGTCAGTAATTCCTCTAGGTCTGATAACCGGATACCCTTTGCTGGATCAGATAAATGTTAGAACGGCTAAATCGATTGATTCCAAACCTTTTGTGGTATCTCAGAGAAGAAGTGAGAAATTTAATGATTTTTATAAATGTTAAAACTTCACAATACATCTGCTAACTTTTAGTTTCATATTGTAACTACAAATAAAAAAATGGTTACACTAAAATCTATATAATAAAACAACACATTCGTATATATATGTTCTCTCTGGCCGGCCAAACGGTTGAGCCGAATGGGCTGAATTTTTTTGTGGACACCCTTGGGGGCATGGGTGTTTTCAAGGCTAAAAAAATTCGAATTTAAAAAAAGAATTTTCTTCAACATTAGAAAAATCTTAAAATCTTAAATTATTAATCACTTAAATATACTTAATTTTTTTTAATGTTTTTTAAAAATATAAATATTAAATTTGTTTTATTACCAAATTATCAATGAGAAAAATGGATAATTTTTAGGTTCCTAAACTCAAATATTACAAATTTTACCGCAAACGCTCATAATAGCGGAATCCGGATTGCTCCGATCTAAAGTTAGTCATCAAAATTTCGGCAGTCTAGACTTGTGGCAACGCCTTTGCTTTTGGTTCTTTCTACCTCACAAACTTATTATACTTTTTTGTAGTCGTATGAATGTACATTTTAAGAATGCGTTTTAATGAGTAATTGGCAAAATACTGATCGATTTTTGCATAAGAACCCCATCTTGGTTTGCAGTAAATAATTGCAATGAATCCCTAGTCCGATATCCGGAAACTTCTGGAGTTTGTTCAGAGATAAGTTCAGGGTTGACAGCTGTTCCAAACCTAAACAATTAACAAACAGTCATTTAATCTAGGAAACATTTGTATAAAACTGGTGTAGGATTCCATGTAAAAAAGCAAAATGAAGGGTAAATTCATCTGTAAACTAAAGAATATCGGTTTAATGTTTCAGTATCAAATATACTCACCGGATATATTTGGTAGACTTGTTAGCTCGTTCTTTGAAACATCTAGAAGTTTTAACTTTACCAACTTTCCCAGATTTTCGGGCAAATTTTTCAGCGTATTTCCTGAACAAAAAACATCATTATCTTTGATCTTCAATGTTTAAATTCATATCAGTTTAGCCAGGCCTGTATCTAATGGGGGGGGGGGGGTACACGCTTTCTGAGACAGAAAAGAAGAAAATGAAAAATGAAAATAATTGGAAGCGAAAAGTGAAAGAAAGGAGAAAATTCGCATAAAATCTAATTTTTGTTACCAATATTATATGTGATAGTTTATTTTTTCTTCAAAATATTGAGTGCTTTCTGAGATAATTAATTGGAAATTTTTATTTAAATCCTGTTTTATTAAATAAGTTTGTATGTATTTAGAGATGCTTGTCCTTTTATCTTCTTTTCTTAGATTAATGATTCTAATGAACCAACGTACAGCAAAAAGTAACATGGAGACAAACTTAAATTATATACAAAATATGGCCGGGTTTAGAAGAACCTGTTTGTACTCATCATCAAGCTTGCAGGGGAGTTTTTTTTTCGAGTTTTAATTTTGAGAAAAATGAATATTTTCATGCTTGAGCTTTATTCGATCTTAAAATGCATTTACATTCTTTTCTTTCCCTGTCTTAAATATAAGTATTGGCTATTCGTGATTAAACGTTTTTTCAGTAGTACATTTATTAGTTTAACTTAAATTTCTACATCTTATTCCTCAATTTAAAGTTAAAGTTAAAAATCAAGTTTTTTAGTCTTCATTAATTAATTTTGATCCTATAAGAGTTTTTCAGGTCAAACAAATTTCGCCTATGTCGCGCCACTTATATAACTTTAAATGCTATTTAAAACTTGTCTGCCCCCCTTTCAAATTCCTAGCTACGGGCCTGGGTTTAGCTAACACAAAAAACATAAGAGTTTTTCAGTTCAAACAAATTTCGCCTATGCCGCGCCACTTATATAACTTTAAATGCTATTTAAAACTTGTCTGCCCCCCTTTCAAATTCCTAGCTACGGGCCTGGGTTTAGCTAACACAAAAAACAATGTAAAAATAGTTCCCATTAGAGGGCAAAATTAATTAACACCGAGGAGAAAAAGCTTTACTAGGTAGAAAAGTTGATCTTTTTCTCTATTTTGGTCGAGAGTGCAATCCCTCCATAGTTGTATATCTCTTATTATTGTTTATTGCATCATTTTTTTTGCACTAGCAATAAGGAACTCTTGTGTCCCCAAATAGTTACACTTATTGGGACACACTATAAATAAGGAAGCTGGACGGATTTAAAGGACTCACATTAAGAACCCACATTAAAGATGCATATTTATAATGCCCATTTAAGACGCATATACGCATATAAGAGACCCATGTTAAAAAAGGAACATTAGGGACACATCTTTGACAAAGCAATGTTGATAAGGGACTATTAGGGAAACACAAACGTGTGACATACATACAAATATTACAAACATTTTATACATACATAAATACATAAATTACACAGAAATATAATAGTAGCTGAAGGGTCCGGCGTTGCCCGTGGAAAAAAAATTGAAGGAAAAAAAATCGAATTTATTTTTAGCCTATACCACTGGGCTACCCATGAGTGTACACAACAAATTTCAGACCATTCGGTCCAGCCGTTCGGCCGGCTATAGGGAACATATATACAAATGTCTTGTTTTAATACATAAGATATATATATTACAGCTATTACATTTATTACATACGTACAATCATATTTTACATACACACAAGATACCCTTACGTAGTCTTGTAAAATAAGATTTTTTACCTTTAAGAACAAGATTGAGAAGGCTTGTAAGATTTCCAATTTCAGGAGGCAACACTGCCAGACCAGCATCAGAAATATCAAGGAAGTTTAGGTTCACTTCAGGTTAAAAACAACACAACTTCATTTTTAACTTAGATTTTTTATAAAAAACAATTAGAATCATTCAATGTTAACAACAAAACAGTTCAGTGTTTTTATTTAATTTTTTTTAAACATCCCGAAAAATGCACAGAATTTCTTCTGGAAACTTCGGGCTTGGGTATTCCAACCATTGTGTATTGAAGATTTCATCATAGATTGTCCTATAGATCCGCACCGCAACAGGTAAAAGTTACCAAAACCCATTGCTCTCCTTTCCCTGGTCAATACGATTAAAGCTAAAACCAAAAAACAAACAAAAAACTCTTATTCAACGAATTCAACCAAGCGGAGGTGTGTACCGCATTCTGTTAGTGCTTCAAGCATGCCTTTTATTTATCCCCAAGTATCCATGCTTTCCTGGCATAGACACTGAATCCTTAAAATTCAGGCCAGGACTGAACTACTAGATCCCATATAGACCAGGGCAAGTGGAGGAGCTCAACCCTATGTTTATTGTATTTCAACCTACAGGTCGTTGTACTTTGACTGTAGGTTGATTGTTAATAATAATAATAATAACCGCAAATCCAAGGAGAGTGTAAAAAAATTAAGAATAAAGAACATACATGTGTCATTAATTTCCCTTATTGCTATACTTTTTTTTTGAGGGGGGGGGGGGTTGGACTTAATAATTGTCAACTGATTAATACTTGATGTTGAATCATATAACTAAAATTTAGTATCTTTCTATTTATTACACAGGAAAAAATTAGAATATTTTAAAAATATATTAATACCCCAAATACCCTGGCAGAACTTCGTGAAGTTTGTTAATTTCCTAGTTTAAATATATTGAGATCCAGTCCCGTCTTCTCAATTCTAATCTGGGTTGGTTTTCCAGTCAAAACCAATTCACGCCTCATCAGTGATCACGTCGCATTCAATAATTTTTATCAGAAGAAATTTTCCGTTTGTTTGTTGACTATGTACCAAATTCAGGGAGCATTTCTTTTTTGGAATTTCTTCTTTTATAATTTTTATAATTGTTTTTACTAAAGTGTATAAAATTACTTTAACAGTGTGGCAGTTTTCCCTTTAAATAATTTATCCCAAATGTAAAAATACTTAGATATTCTCAATTCCCCCCCCCCCCCCCCCCCCCCGGGGACATAAGGCCATGAAAATCCCTGATCATCCCTTTCAAGCAGGAAACAATCAGCCCACAACGTTTAGTTTTTGACATGTTCAAAATTGAGAATAAATTACATTAATAAAACGCATCATAAGTTCTTTTTTCTAGATCGCTAGAAGCAACAATTTATTTTTTTGATAGTTTGTGAAATTCTTGTCTAGAGAAAAAATTGGGGGGGTTAATATTTAATATTCAATTTTCCGTCCCGTCCTTCCGTAATTCGTAATCAGTGATAATATTATTCTAGGTTAGGTTAAGTTAAGATATATAGAAAAGTCACGGGAAGCTCTTTTTTAAGAAGGGATGGGATGGTCCACAGCCCATTCAATAAGATGTCACTAATTATTCCCGAATTCGGGGGAAAAAATTCTATACTAAACATTAATTTTTTGAATGGACATTTCCCTATTCTCCTTCTCCGCAACTTCTACCTCATCCCACATTTTGTAAATCTGGAAAAAATATATATTTTCTACTTTTCTATCTTCTGTTCTTCTTCTTCTGTGGCTTCCCTTGCTGCTTCTTCTTCCCCCCGAGTCTGTTGACAATACCCATACTTTCTTCTGCGTCATCAATATCCGTCTTCTTACGCTTCTTTCCAGACTTACGCTTCTCCTCCATCTCCTGTACAAATGCGTGCGTTACAGGTTGCTCATAGGAATATTTTTTTACGGATTTCTCACTTGTCATCCTAGAAATGAAATATACGCAAGAACACAAAATAATTTAAATCGGAAAGAATTGGGCGCAGTTTTAAGGATGATTATCTGTACTCTTCAAAAAACGTAGTTTGAGGAAAAATGGTCTTAACTGTAGAAAAGATCAGTTAAAAATTAGTAAAATAAATGTTTACTCTGCCAAAATACCGGAAAGGAATACCCTAAGGGCCAGGTAGACAGGGAAAGGAAAAATTTGACAACAGAAAAGCCGGCCCCTTTTTTTTGGTACTTTTCCCCAAAAATGTCATTGATTCCCCCTTAAAATAAAAATTTTCTATATCAAAGACAAAAACCATCTTTCCTTACCTTAAGTTCAATCTTCGCCATCCTATTGGCCTCCATAACCCTCTCAGAGAGAAGGAGAACCTCGGCCTCCTCCGTAGGATACAGAGGCAACTTCTTTCCTAATTTTATAAAATTATCATTATTATTGTCATCAAAGACAATCCATCATTTTGAAAAAAGAAGGTCGATGCTTGAGGTCAACTTGAATACATGTGGGACCCATAGATTCACGCCTTCATTAGTTTAGCGATCCCAGGGAAATTCTTTCACAAGGTCAACATTTGTGTTACAAGTTTTACATAAATAAGGGACAAATTTCCTAGTTTCCCTATTTTTCTAAATTTGTCCGCCAAAATGTCTGCTTAAAGGGCAAGCTCTCTACCTGAAAGTCAAGAAACTTATTATAGCTTCTCCCAGAAATTATCGATACACCTTTTGTTAATTAATAATTTTCAAATAAAATAAGATTTTTAATTGCTCTGCGTCTGGGGAACTGTGAATAGCGAGCTGTAGCTTTGTTGCGTTTATTTACTCAGAATTCAAAAACAAAAAACATAGCTTTCGTGTTAACGTTGTATTGAGGAGAGGTTTTGCTAAGACAGGTTTTGAAGTATAAACTGACCTAGTAAGTTCTCGATTCTCTGGTACAGTTCTACATCGTATTGAGAGACGAATGTAACTGCCCGACCAGCCCGGCCAGCTCGTGCAGTTCTTCCCACCCTATACGAAAATTGAAAAGTTAAGATAAAGGCAAAAATTTACTTTTCTTACATGCTGTTTACTCAATAATGATAATAATGATTAAATCATCTTTCTGAAGCACCTAAAATGTTTCTGAACAAAAAGTTTACGGTACAAAATGTTTCCGTTCTAAATGTTCATTGCGCGAAGATTCTATATTTTTTGGATAAATTGGAAAGTTTCTGAAAATCATGATTTTTTTTGTTTCTGTTGAATTTCAAATATTTAGTTCTTCTGCTCTTTATAAGTCATTTTCAAACATATATTTAGGATCTAATCCTTGCTATGTGTCGGAATATCGAAGATTATGACATTAAATCCAAGTGAGAGCTATCTACAAGTTTACCTGTAGATATAATCCTTGCTATGTGTCGGAATATCGAAGATTATGACAATATATCCACGTGAGAGATATCTACAAGTTTACCTGTGGGTATAATCCTTGCTATGTGTCGGAATGTCGTAGTTTATGACAATATATCCACGTGAGAGATATCTAAAGGTTTACGTATGGATATAATCCTTGCTATGTTTCGGAATATCGAAGTTAATGACAATATATCCACATGAGAGATATCTACAAGTTTACCTGTGGATATAATCCTTGCTATGTGTCGGAATGTCGTAGTTTATGACAATATATCCACGTGAGAGATATCTACAAGTTTACCTGTGGATATAAACCTTGCTATGTGTCGGAATATCGAAGTTTATGACAATATATCCACGTGATAGATATCTACAGGTTTACATATGGATATAATCCTTACTATGTGTGGGAATATCGTAGGTTTACCTGTGGATATACTCTTTGCTACGTGTCGGATTATCGAAGTTTGTGACAATATCCACGTAAGGGATATCTAACTATACTCTGTGGATACATACATGGTTAGTTATGGATATAATCGTTGCTATGTGTCGAAATATCGAAGTTTATGACAATATCAACGTGAGGGATATCAAAATGTTTACATGTGGATATAATCCTTGCTATGTGTCGGAATATCATAGTTTATTACAATATCCACGTGACGGATATCTAAATTTTCACCTGTGGATATAATCCTGGCTAAGTTTCGGACTTACGAAGTTTGTAACAATATCTACATGAGGGATATCTGAACGTTTACCTGTGGATATAATCCTTGCTATGTGTCGGAATATCGAAGTTAATGACAATATCCACGTGAGGGATATCCAACCCTCGGCTGGCTACATCAGTTGCTATCAGGATGGAACGAGACTTTGCCTTAACAAAAATAAATATTTAAAATGTTTAAAAACCAGTGAATACTAAACAGCAAAGTAGTTAAAATATAAAAACCAGAAGGTCCCAAGGGGTATCAAAAAACGAGAAAAAGCTTTCAAAAACCAGGCAAAAAACCAAAATCAAGACTATTAATAAAAAGTTAACTAAAAAGACAAAAAATCTACATTTTGTTTAAATAAAACTGACCTTAAATTTGTTTAAGCTGGCTAGACGTTTATTCTGGGACATTTGGCCGTTCAGAGGAATAGCGGTGAAACCTAAAATTACGAACTAATTACAAAAATTAAAGATAAGAATAATAACAGTAACAATTAAAAACAAAATAAGCACTGTACCGTACTGTACTGTATAACTTTACCTAGACATCTGAGTATAAGTGCAAGTTTAATGGTTCCGCTGCAGGTGGAGGAGAAAATCATGAAAGAGTTCCCGGCCAGCTCATTCAGTATATTGACCAAATACATCTCCTTGTGCTAAAATCAATCAATCAATCAATCAATCATTCATTCAATCAACACCCAACCAACCAGTCACTCATACAATAACAACAACCCAACCACACAAACGGATAACAACAACAAACCACCCAATAACACATCCGCTCAAATAAACAAACCAAACAAGAAACAACATCCAAACAAACACCATACCAATCAAAACAACAAACTATCCAATCAAAATCAGAACCATTCAACCAACCAACCCACGAACAAACTATCCAACCAACAAACTAATTTTACAACTAACAAACCAAACAACAAACTAACCAAACAAATCAACCATCTCTTAAAACATTAAACCATTCATTCGTCCGACACAGCTAAAGACTAATTATGAATTCATGAGTTAAGCAATATTATTATTATTACCAATCAACCTACAGTCAAATTATTTATAAATATTGATCGATTTACCTTTAACGGAATGAAAAGATAATATTGTTGTAATTTCTCGACAGTTTGAAATTTGTTCGAGACCTCAACCTGTAAAAGCAAAAGATTTTTTCTTCATTTTGTATAATTTAAATTAATTAGAACTGAAAAAATATGAAATCTCCTCTCTACCTTGACAGGATCCTTTAGAGATGCTCTCTGCAGCTTAGCAACCTTCTTCGTCATCGTAGCGGAGAACAACATCGTCCGTCGCTCCGCCGGAATACAACGAAGAATTTTCGTCAACTCGACCTCGAAATCCAGATTTAGAATACGATCCGCCTCATCCATAACTAGAAAATACGTCAATAAATAAATATATGTCAATAAATATGCCCATTGTCCACTTACCTGAATCCTGGATATCAACCGTGTCTACTAACATAGGTACTTGCAAATTACGATATCTACCTATCTAGGTCTAAATTACCCAAGATATCTACCTACCTAAGTACTTGTCACCCAGGATATCTACCTACCTTGGTCCTAATTGCCTAAGATATTTACCTACCTTTGTCCTAATTACCCAAGATATCTACCTACCTTGGTCCTAATTACCCAAGATATCTACCTACCTTAGTCCTCATTACCCAAAATATCTACCTAACTAGGTATTAGTTACCCAGGATATCTCCCTTCCTAGGTACTATTTACCCATTATATTAACCTACCTAGGTACTCGTTACCCAAGATATCTACCTACCTTGGTCTTAATTACCCAAGATATCTACCTACCTAGGTACTAATTACCCAAAATATCTACCTACCTAGGTACTAGTTGGTACAAGTTACCCAGGATATTAACCTACTTAGGTACTAGTTACCCAAGATATTTACCTACCTAGGTACTAGTTGGTACTAGTAACCCAGGATATCTACCTACATAGGCACTAGTTACCCAAGATATCTACCTACCTAGGTACTTGAGGGACTTAAGACTGAACCCCTTTGTATTCTCCAGGTGATCCACGAGTCTACCAGGAGTAGCCACCACAATATGAGGTTTTTTCGCCAGCATAATCGACTGAAAACAAACGACATTTGTTTAAAAAACAGAATATTCTATGTCGTCTTTTACTTGAAAAAAAATCGTTCTTAAAGGGACTTTTTACCATAAGTGTTAAATATAGATTTCTTATGATTAACTAAGCAACATAAAACTGCCCTAAATATTTACCTGGGACACCATATCTATCCCTCCGACAACAACAGCACACTGAACCTTGATACTTGCCCCTAGTGCCTCAAACTGCTCAGATATCTAAAGCAACATTTTCAAATTGAAGAGAGAAAAAAACTATTGAATTAACTAATCAATTAATTAAAAGATATATAACTGAACCTGAAAAGCCAGTTCTCTTGTGGGGGTTAGGATTAGTGCAAACAGTTTCTGCGGATTTTCTAGAAGAGCATGAAGGATTGGAAGCGCAAAAGCGCCAGTTTTACCAGAGCCGGTTTCAGCCAGTCCTATAACATCCCGACCCTACGATTATACAACGTAGGTCAGATTTGAATATAAAGTACACAACTTTCTTAACTCTATTCCTGCTTCAAACATGGGGGTCAAATTGACACCCCCCCCCCCAGCATATCCTGGTTTTCAAGTACCCCAATAGATATAGGGTTAAAGTATTGAACATTTACTTTACGTAAACATCCCAGTTCTTTTTAGAAAAAAGATTCTGACAGTTCATTTTCACGGATATGATTTTAAAAGTTATAAGATTTGGATTTAAAACAGCAAATGGAATTATTGCAGAAGGGTGCAATAGAGTTTTAATGAAAATATATCATATATATGTAAGCCCCTATTTGAATCTATATAAAGTGGGTTGACCTGCAAAGCTACTGGAATAGCTTCCTCCTGAATCCTGCTGGGTTTCTTCCAACCCACTGCAGTACATGCTTCAACTAGGACATCTATTAGACCAAGGTCTGTGAACGTCTAAAATAAAATAAAAATCCGGATTCTATTGATGAATTCAAAATCAATCGACATGATGGATGATGCACGAACAAAGAGAAGAAAATGGAAATCTAGAAAATCAGAGATGTCAAAATATTTGCAGCTGATATTGTCTAATTTATAGAAATTGATAAAATCAGAGACTGCATAGTAAATATATTGACTAAGTTAAACCATATCACTTCTTTTCGACTAGAACTTATTCTTTACTTGGTGGTTCTACTATTTGTCAAGTGCAACATATTAACGGGATAAAAATGAGCTTCCCATCTATTTAACACTTTCCACTGAGATAGACAGTAATAAAAATTACTATGAAGAAAAAGATGGTTTTTTTATTCAATTTTAAATTCAACCTTAGAGGTATTGTTCGCTGTGAGAGTTTGCATTTCCTCTCCCTCCTCATCCTGCTCCAGCTTCTCTAGCTTCTCCTCCGTCTCCTCCATCTCGTTCATCTCAGTCTCAGATTCATTCTCACTTGAACTCATTTTATCTAGTCAGGACATTTTTAATGTATTATTGTAGTTTTACAAGAATTTATATAATGTCTGTAAGTTATATAATAATAATAACAGTTCTAGAGAAATAAATCTAGGAAAGATAACAATGTGTGTGTTCAAAGCTTGATAATGACAATTTATAATAGAATTAAAAATCATATATTTTTAATAATTTTGATAGTTTATGCTTTATTTGAGTTGATCATGAACATGTCTTTATTGGTTTATTTAAGTTGTTCATATCTAGAATTTGTTGAGACCAGCCTAGCCGGTCACAGATTTTCTCGATACTGGCGTTGATATCTCCAAGCAGTACACTATCATTTGGTCTGAACAATAAAATATTTTCTTATTAGTGACAGAAAACAAATGGGATATGCTAGGTTTTTTCAATTTAAATCAAGAATTTTGTACCTGGTTCCAAAGGATCCGACCAGATCGTTATTAAGAAGTATTCTCGGAGTAGTGTGCCGCGTTACATCAGCAATTCCTAAATGTAGAAAATTGTTGATTCAACTTCTAAAAGCAACCAGTACAAAAATCCGCAAACACTTTTTCCGCCATTTTTTCAAATGTTTTTAAAAATGTCCTATGAAAATAAATAATAATTAGTTAGAATGAATTTACAATTAAAATTACTTGAAGGCAGACCAGTCTGATGTAATAAACAACACAGAATCCCAAGTCAACAATGTACAACGTACATTATGTGCAAATTTTCACGCTACACTAGAGGCAAAACTCGCGCTACACCGGAGGCAAAAGCTCAAAAAGGTTTAAATCTCATTTCCTCATTACCTGCAAAAGGATAAACCTCTAGTGATGTTCCTATACAAATAAGAAGATCAGCGAACATACAATCAAACTCGGCCTCGTCAAAGAATCTGCCAGGTAGAGGTTCTCCGAAGAAAATTATGTTGGGTTTTATCAATCCTGGTTCAAGGAAAAGGATTAAAATAGAATAAAAAAAGAAAAATCACAATGGTAATAATATTTATCCAAACATTAATATAGAAAAAGTAACGAAAATTGTATCTGTGATTGAAAATTGTACACGATTATGAGGGAAAATTATTTGAATAAAAATAAGAGCATTTTCAAGTTCGGTACAGGTCACATTATAAAACAGGAAAACAAGAACATTATGTATTGTATTTACGATATAAATTAAATTAAATTCATTAAAACGTTTTTACTCAAATACTTAATTCCCATAAATATTGATCGCAATTGTCATTATATCATAGAACTGTTCATTGAAAAAAATTAGTTGAAAAAAATATAGTTTTAGAATTCTTGTTTCGAATAAAACGTATTTGTATTGCCTTTAAAACAGCTTATCAATGCAATTAGAACAAATTCCATAAATGTCTTCTTGAGAGAAGTAGATTGTAGATTTCAAATAGATTATCAAGGACAATAGGTGGCAACAGAGAAATGAACCAATTATACACGACGTCACAAGTGTCAAATATAACAAGGAAAACGAAATTGTCTCACATTAGTTGACATGTTTTCCGAGATTATATAAAAAAGTGTAGAAACAGCAACTAAAGAACACATAAAATTGTACTTCTTTTACTGTAAGAAAAGCACTTTATTCTAAAATTATCACTATTATTGATAATTTTGTCGGACATAAAAACTGAATTGACACTTCTGACGTCAGAATACAACTGTACTGAGAGTGTACAAATTCCAAGTTGTCATCTACTGTACTAGAATCTATTTGGTAGGTTTAAGTTTGAACCCTTTCCTTGACATTTGTGACATGTTGGTGTAATATCTTCAAGTATTTGTGTTTTCAATGTTTGTATACTGTACGCTTCTTTACAGGATATACATGATGCAGAGTTAAAGGTTCCATGAGCTTCAACTAATTTATCCTCCTACAAAACAAAATAATGTATCTTTGTATATATAAACAAGCTGAAGTGTCCAGCGTTGCCAGTGAAATTTTTTTATAATCGAATTTTTAAAAAAAAATTTGATTTTTGAAAAATAATTTTTTGTTTTTTATTTAGCCTTTGTTACTTCCAGCTAAAAAATGTTACTCTATTTGGTCCGGCCGTTTGACAAGCTATAGCCATATATATAGAGGCAACATAAATAAATGACTGTCTTGTTTTATTTTATAGAAATACCATCTGAACCGCCCGGCGTTGCCCATAGAAAAAGAAATTTGAAAATTTTTTCGAAAAAAAAATAATTTTTGAACAAACATATTAAAGAGTTTACTTTTATAGAGAAAGAATAGTTTCCTGGTAAAGCTGGGTTCCCAGGCTAGATAATGAATTAATTATAGACTAATGGTGTATGAATGAAACATTAAGCCCCTTATACGTTTTTACTTCTTACAAATAAAAAGAACTTTCTCCAAATTAAGATATTTTTTCTGAACGGTGACAGGTTTGTAAGTAAATAATTTCATAAGAAAGAGGGGAAGAGGAGCGGGGGGGAAGTTAATTATAGTTAATACACCTCTAGTTTGTTAGTTATGGTGTGTTTCTATAAAATAAAAAGGATAAACCATAATTCCCTTAAAAGCAGGGTGAAGCTCAATCAAATAAAGTTGAATGAAAAGATTAATAGAAATTAAAAGTATTTAGAAGAACAATTACTCATTCTCATGAATTGCGGATATTGCAGATAAAAGCGATGCCGGATCCGTTTACTGTTTAGTGTTTCATAACTGTATGGTTTTATTAAAGGGACTGTAGGGTTTTATTAGAGACTGTAGGGTTCTATTAAAGGGACTGTAGGGTTTTATTAAAGGGACTGTAGGGTTTTATTAAAGACTGTAGGGTTCTATTAAAGGGACTGTAGGGTTTTAATAAAGGGACTGAACGGATTTATTAAAGGGACTGTAGGGTTTGATTATAGGGACCGAAGGGTTTTATTAAAGGGACTGTAGGGTTTTATTAAAGGGACTGAACGGATTTATTAAAGGGACTGTAGGGTTTGATTATAGAGACTGAAGGGATTTATTAATGGGACTGTAGGGTTTTATTAAAGCGACTATAAGGGTTTTATTAAAGGGACTGTAGAGTTTTATTATAGGGACTGAAGGGATTTATTAAAGGGACTGTAGGGTTTTATTAAAGCGACTATAAGGGTTTTATTAAAGGGACTGTAGGGTTTTATTATAGGGACTGAAGGGATTTATTAAAGGGACTGTAGGGTTTTATTAAAGCAACTATAAGGTTTTATTAAAGGGACTGTAGGGTTTTAGAACGATTCAAGATATTTGTAACAGCTTTACATAGTACACAGTACACACAGACACTCTCTTCACAGCTCTTTCAACTCGATGACCAGTCAAAGGTTTTAAGGATACCGTTGTAAATCAGACATTGCCCTCTTTGTATGGAGGGTCACTTGAAATTACGCTTACAGACCCTTTAGATCTGGTCTCTTGACATTTTAAACGTAGGAATACTAGCTATCCTTCAACCTACCTTTATACCTGCAATTCTCTCCAGCCCATCTATATTCTGGGTGAACAACTTGCTTAGTTTTCCTTTCTCCTCCAACAGCTTTATAAAGTAATGACCTAAATTGTTCAAATAAATGTTTCTTAACTTTGGTTTAAAAATTCAGAGGCTGATATTAAGGGGGATCACCCTACCCCTAGATCAATGGTTTTCAGGGGGGTTTCAAGCCCCAACGGATGCTCAGCCTCCTCTGGAAAGAGAACAAAATTAACCCCCCCCCCCTGTACAAATTCCTAGGTACGCCCCTGTTAAAATTCTTAAGTAAATTGGGCGACTTGTATTTATTTCCAAACAAAGCTGGGGTCAAAAGTTCAGTTTTCTATATTTTAAAAATATACGTTTTTTCAAATGGGTGAACATTCCCTTAAACCATAATATTTTAACCTGTGTTCGGAAGATAATTAACTCCAGGGAAGAATTGTTTAGCCCAGGAATTAAAGGGTTTAGGATTCTTTTTAAAGTATTCCAGTTCAAATACAGCTTCAGGGTAGGGTAGGTTATATTTTGACAGGTTATCATATACCCCTAAACAAATTAACATGATGAATATTTGGTTATTTGGTGAGTTAATCTCTAGACTCTAATTAGGAGTATATTGAGAATATCTGCGAGTCTATAGATTCATTGAGTAACTATTTATATCACTATTTTTACTCAAACAATGTCTTCAGCATATCGTTGGTAAATGTTTTTAAACCTAAAGTGTAAAATCTATACTATTCAGGGAAGACGACTTGGTTACACGGGAGAAGTTGAAGAAGGACGCAAGATAATACCTGGAGAACGCACAATCCCCCTATAAACAATTATTAATGTCCATTCTTTTAACATAAGGTTATTCGAATATATAATCCTATTTTAACCAAAAAACCTTACTGAGCTTTAACTATTGTTTTCTAAAAATTATTAAAAGCATAGAATTCTTTACAAAAAACCAGGGGTGTATATAATTCCATTTCCCCCCCCCCTGGGGGGGGAAAGAAATCAAAGGTCACAAAAGAGGGGAAGGGGAAGGGAAAGGGAAGGGGAAGGAAAGGGGAAGGGGAAGGAGAAGGAGAGGGGAAGGAGAAGGAAAGGAGAAGGGAAGGAGAAGGGAAGGAGAAGGAAAGGAGAAGGGAAGGAGAAGGAAAGGAGAAGGGAAGGAGAAGGGAAGGAGAAGGGAAGGAGAAAAGAAGAAGGGGAGAAGGGAAGAAGAAGGGAAGAAGAAGGGAAGGAGAAGGGCAATTCTATTGAGAAAGTTGAAAAGCAACTTAGCGAGGACATTTCAGTAAAGACATGCTAGAAACAAGTGCCAGAGTACATCTAGAGGAGCTGGTTGAAAATCTTATAGAAGACAAACTTCAGGAGAAGTTTGAAGTTAAGGATAGCCTTCTGCAGACATTCATTTCATTCCTGACATTTAAACAAAATTCTGATCATCAGTCCTTGGAAGTGTTATATCAACTGTTCCAAAAGAATTATAGGCAAAGTTTGTCAGCAGAGTCTAGATTCTTTGACCTGTTTGAACATGTTAATATCAGATAATATACTGAAGCCTACTGTGAAAGTGTGGGATCCCTCATGAATATACTAGTTAATAAGGAAGAAACCTCACATCAAGCTTTTTCTCAAGAGAGCTTATCATAGCTTTAAATGCTCCTCCTCTTCATATCTTAAAGAAAAAAAATCATCACTAAAATCAGGGATGAGTTTATGAAGAAGATGATCTTTGTAAGAAAGATGGACAACGCCAGACTTTCCAGACAGTGCTCCAAACTGAAGTTTGCAGATCTATCTCTTGGACAGCTACGGAAGAACCAAGAAAATCAGTCTCATGTCCCTGTAGACTTTTTTACTGTTTAATTAAGTAAGAATAAGTAAATTTTTTTAGATGATACTTTAATAAATCTAAGAAGAGTTTAATCTATGTATTTTGAGTTGTCGAGTTTGGGGAAGGAATTCAAAAAAAAAATTTAGAGGGGGGGGAAAGAATCAAAAATATGGAATTATATACACCCCTGCAAAAAACATATTCCAAGTATTGTTTGGAATTCCAAAACATATTTTAACTTCAAACCTATTTAATTTCCATGTTCGGAAATTTAAATAATAAACTTTTTATATTTAATATCTGAATGTTTCAGATATTATGCATTGCGCGTTTAAGTACTGTATCCAGGAAACTGTGGATAGGATGTTAACCTTCTGCAATGTTTGATCCTTGGTAAACAGAAGTACATTTTCAAACACATATAAAAAATTGTAAAGAAGTTTGCATTATAAAAAATTAACAATTTGTAAATCTAGATCTGAAGTTATAGCAACTACTGACGATCTACACCTCTAACTGTACGTTCTTGCAGTCTCTGTAGCACTTTTAGGTGAATAAACAATTTACCTAAATACACTATAAAATAAGCACAAATGAACAATGCACTTTTTTTAAAGACTGAAGGAACGTGTGACCGGCTAATCCAGCTCTCAGCTTTAAGTATTTAGGTATATACATATACTTTAAAATGCATTCATCTAAATACATTCTCACACCTTTCAAGTTTCAGTTGTTAGAAAAAAGACTTTAAAATCCTTTTTTCTAGAACCTGAATTGCAAGGAGATGAGATTTCCCTGCAGACCCTTCTAGCGTATTCGAACTATACTACGCTCAATGGATTATGTTTACCACAAATCCAATACAGGTATAACAAGGTGATCTGAAATCCTGTATTCCACTAGCAGTACTATTCATACCTGAACCAGGTGATCTGAAATCCTGTATTCCACTAGCGGTACTAATTCCTGCTCCAGACATCACTACTATACTCGAACTCTCATCAATCCCTTAATTTATATATATATGTATATATAAATAAAAATAGTCATTTTTAATATATAACTATTGCTTAGAATCTTCATGACAGAAACAACCCTTAAGAATTAATTGAAAAGGATCAACCCAGACCAAAGTATTTTCAAAAAAAAGTTAAACGAACACCTGTATTTTTCATTTAAGAAGACTTATAATCATCATAAACATCAGATTTTTAATCATTAGTAATTATTTAGTTCTAGTTTTAGATGGCTATTTTATTATTTCAAAATCCAATCATTATTTTAACATTATTTTATCTACAGGGAGCCACAACAATTTATCGTCCGAGCCCCATTACTAATTTCTGTGCCAATTTAGTTTAACGTTATTAAATCATAAATATTTTTAATATCTATTTCAAGGGAATGTCGACTTTAAATTTAAAATGTTTATATCTTTTTCTCTGCTCCATAAATCCGCAATTCACTTCAATAAAGAACCACAATTGAAAATGATCAATTTTCAAATAGAAATTTTAATTTTGACCGGAAAAAGAATATCGTTTTGAATTGCCATTCTAAAAAAGGAGAGTCACTTAAAATTATTTACAAATGTAAAAAAGAAAGACGATACATTTCAATCAATCAATTGTATGTTTTGTAGGGATGATATAAACGCACTATTACAGTCCCAAGGAAACACATTATTTGGGTAAATATTCAGGACGATGTCTGCTAAAATCTATAAAAAACCAAAAATTAAAATTTGAGTCAAAAGGTTAAAAACTTACTTGCAGCTATTTTCTCAATGTCGTCGTCGTTAAAGCTACTAACCGAGTTAAATCGGGTATTTGCCCAGCTACGATTAGATCCAACGGAGCATTTCAGGAAACATGGCGCGCCGAGGTTGGTCAGATTTAAAGGGAAACACTGCAATGTTCGTCTTAAAACATGCATTTTTATTCTCAGTATTTCTATCTGAGCATTATCTGAAATTTGTAATTTTTTAAACTATACAATATACAACATACATACCTTATTACATAACACACATTTGAGCATTTTTATTCTTATCTTAACCTGTTACTGATTACATAAAATTGAACTTAAATTCTAACAGATTTTGAGCGATAGAAATAGATCTGTCGAATCATAGACCCTCTTCCCACACTAGCTTTTAAGCAGTGCTTAGGATCCGGATCCTATGGATCCGCAACATTTTGGCTTCCTGGATCCGGATCCAAAAAAACTTTTGAACTTAAAAAAAAGATATTATCAAAAACTTCCTCAACTTCATCAAGTTTTAGCATAAAAATAAGCGAAGAATAGAGTGAAATCAATTCTAAACTTCTTCTTGTTCAATAAATCATTAAATCTGAAAGATTTTTCATGACCTGGATTCGGATCCATTTTTTTCCAGAGCCGCTCAAGGATCTGGATCAAAATCAGCACTGCTTTTAACAGATTAAAATATTCCGTTGTGAATTGATAACGTGTTAACTTTAGTTTGGCTGTAACCTGAACTAGTACGAACTTTAAGTTGGTTGTAACCTGAACTAGTAAGAACTTTAGTTTGGTTGTAACCTGAACTAGTACGAACTTTAGTTTGGTTGTAACCTGAACTAGTACGAACTTTAGTTTGGTTGTAACCTGAACTAGTACAAACTTTAGTTTGGTTGTAACCTGAACTTGTACAAACTTTCGTTTGGTTGTAACCTGAACTAGTACGAACTTTAGTTTGGTTGTAACCTGAACTAGTATACGAACTTTCGTTTGGTTGTAACCTGAACTAGTACGAACTTTCGTTTGGTTGTAACCTGAACTAGTACGAACTTTCGTTTGGTTGTAACCTGAACTAGTACGAACTTTAGTTTGTTTGTAACCTGAACTAATACAAACAAAACAAAAAATCCTAAAATTGGCGCTAAAACATTTAATAGAAACCTAGAATTATTCTATTCTAAAAAGTTGTTATATAATAATGTTCTAATAAATTCTTAAATGTTATTTTGAGTAGAAGCGTTATTATAAACTTTTAGTGAGTTAGGACGAAATATGATTTTATCAGCGGGTTTTTATTGATGTGTTTTATCAAATAATTATTTTTTTTTATTTTGAAAAAGATGTATTTTTTTAGCTTTTGACAGATTTCTGCTTTATATTTAGCTAACTTTAAAATTTGGTTTCTGGGAGTTAAAAATAATAAAAATCATACATAATAATATTAATAAATAAATATATCGATAAGATGTAAAAAATCACAATTAAATGCAATTTTTGGCACGATTTTGACTAGAGGTTCAAATGTTACAAACCATACGAGATCATTTTTAGGAAGCCTTTAACGTAATTTCAATTTAAAAAGTTACAATTTGCATTACAGACTCTCAAAGGTATCAATTTAAAAAGTTACAATTTGCATTACAGATTCTCAAAGGCGTCAATTTAAAATGTTACATGGGCATGGCAGATTCTCAAAGGTGTCATTTTTAAGATAGAAAAACAAACCCGTGACTAAAACTTACTTTAAAAACCCATTATTCAATATTTTGAAATTATCATTTATAATTTGTATAATTCTTTAAGAATCTCTATGACTGGTTAAGGTACAGCACTAGCACATAAACAAACATATAACTTAAATATGCCGGAAAATAAATGCCCCAGCTCAGATTTGAATAATCTTAATCAAAAAAGCCTCAAGACTATGGTTCTATTGAGAAAGGGTTATGTAATTTTAAAGTCTAGTTTTAAAACAGTAAATAACTTCGATAAAACTCACCAAATTGGGTCTAACTTTAAACTTGAGACTAAGGGATTTACACTAACTCTACCCTCTTAAATAGTTATGATCAATCAATTTTCTGAATATTGCAGGCCTTCTCTATCCTCTCCATCCTCTCTCTATGCTTCCTGATCAATTTGGCCAAGATACCAACATTTGCGCAGAAGAATGCTAAACTCTCAATCCAGATAAAGAAGAATGTGTTATTTCCTTAACATTAAAAATCTAAATTAAAAAATCTTAAATTTTCGTTTTTAAAATCTAATGTAGTTTCCTCAAAATAAAAAAAAACCTTAACAAATAGAATAATTTTTAGTAAATATCTCATAATGATGATGTGGGGCCGTGGGCGAATAGTTAGAGTGAAAAGTACTTCAATTAATTTCAAGGAAAGGGATTTAAAAATTTTTTTTTGGTATTTGCCCGCCAATTATTATTATTTATTAAAATAACTTAGCCAAGGACTAGGCTTCGGCGTAAGCAGTGCACTAAGCCTTGTAGTCAAAAGAGATATTTTTACAAGGTATTTACTGTGAAAAATTAACCTCCCTCTTCTCCATCTTTGGATAAATCAAATTTCTTATAATAGGAAAGAAAGTGTTGATAAATCTTTAAAAAATAAATAAAAAGCTAACCTTTAAACTCGAGGAGGTATGCAGGGAGGAGCCATGAGCCCTGAGCAAACCCCCAGAGGATTGCGCCAAGACATATTTCCTTGTTGGTCAGCTTGAGATGTGGAGCTACGAGGGGGAGAAGGCAAAAGTACCACAGGAAGTATTGAGCCGTTACAACCTTAAATATGTTTTTACTCAAATTTTAATTAAGATGGAAAATTGCTGATACATTTCGATCATAAGAACATAAAAACGTCCCTAGCATGAAAACAGAATGTACTAGTCATCATCATCTATATATATAATTTGCTAGTATTTCTGTCTGTTTGTATCTAATAAATGACATGCAAAGCAGCTGAACCGATCGCGCCCAAATTTTGTGTGGGACCTCACATGACCCCAGGGAAGGTTTATGGATGCTCAAAGCTACAAAAACTTGTCTCCAAATATTTAGATTTTTGTAAAATTTTTAAAATCTGCAAAAACAGTAAAAGGAATTTCTTTGCTCTTGTTTTATAATGTACAAGTAGAAGATAGAGCCACAATAATAAGTTGAAATGGTTTAATAAATGTGTGTACCATCTTTAAAGGGTAGTGTTCACGAAAATTAAATATATTTATTCATGAAAAAAAATGTTGAAACATTTTACTAAATATTGATTTGACTGAATTATGTGGCGGAATTACGGTGATGGGGNTGCGGCCAATCTCCTGTCCAGTATTCTATTCGAGCCCCGCGAAAGGCTGATCTTGTTACGACTTTCTTATAAAATTTGTATCATTTGCATTTAACTCATAAATTAATTAACTTAATCATTTGTTAATTCAAATTTAATACAATTATTTTGATGTGAAATAATGTGAATGTGACTTAATGATGTGAATTAAATTAATGACTTCCAACTTACCATACGATAATTGTACGTTAATTCTTAATCAAATAAAATCAAAAAATCTTTTTTAAAGTATAATTGATCCAGAACTAGATGTAGATAGTACAGAAATTTACATTTATCTTTTTAGGATAAAATTCTAACTTTAGTCAATTGCCAATTATGATTTATGACTAACCCCGAAATCGATTATTATTTATAATTTTAAGAGGATCATATCTCCGAAAATAAAAAAAAAACGTTAACAAGATCGTTTCAATCCGACATTTATTTCTTTTTAAATGCTTTAAAAAAGATGAAAAATTGTAGTAGAGACGGTTTAGCCTAATTAGTAATTTTAAACCGAAAAAAATAATAAATATAATAAAGATCTAGAAAGGGAACCTGACATGAATCCTTTCACTTTACAAACGATGATTTTCCGTTATAACTATAAATCAAATTATGGTTTTTATTCACCTTATTCATTATTAAGTTTATTTAACAGCTTTAAAATTTCGAAATTGAAATGAATAGTCTAGGGAACATACTGTATTAATGTACTCTACTGCATATAATTTGTTAATATTTACATGATTTGTACACTTTGAACTCCCTTTCAGGCTGAAAGGGACTGAAAAAAAATCATACCGAGAGATTCTTTAAATTCCTCTCTAATATATATTCTATTCTCTATGCCCCCCCCCAACCCCTACCGCACCCAAAACATTTTGTGAACATAATTTGGTTTAAACCTTTAATATTAAAGTGATTATTAAAGTGATTATTAACGCAGCTTAAATGCCATACACATTAAACTATCAATCAATCGACTATATATATATATAGAATGTAAATCTGTGACAATTTTGCACAAAAACATAAAAAAGATCGCAGTAATTAGCAATAAATGTGGGAAGAAGATATAGTACCATGCATTTATGAGAAAAATGAATTTAAAAAAAGTTAGAATTACGTGAACTGTCCCTTGGCAGCATTTCATTCCTAAACCTACTTAAATATGTATGATTTTTCTAGTCCTGGAATTTTTAAATTGTGGCCTGCCTTTTTTGTGCCTTTAATTTGCCGGAGATAAAAATAATTTTGTAAGCTTTTTGAAAATTTTAGGTTTTGTTTTTTAAGTTTAAATCTGAAAGAACTTCTTAAAATTTCCGGTTATATTGAAAGCACAACAGAGGCAGACCACATTTTGGAAATCCCAAGAGAATTTTTAATTCGTCTTACTGCTGTCAAGTTTCGTGAGACACCCTGTATAGTGCGTATCATAGTACTCTTGATTAGAATAAATATTTTCCTGTAGACTAGAGCTAGAAGCAGAATAACTTGTGGCAGAAATGTTAAAATATTTAGGCCTGGACATCACAAAAATTATTGTAAAATAGAAGAATTAGATTGGATATCTAAACAACTCATAATTAGTTTATAAAATATTGATGTACGGTTTGAAGACGTTTTAAGAATTAAAGGGACTGTAAGCGCAAGTTCAAGTAACCCTCCATGCAACAGTACCCTCAAAACCTTTGTATGCTCAAATATTAATAAGAAATTTATGTTTATAATTTTGAAAACTGATTATTTTCAATTGTGGGGTTCTCTACAAAAGTGACTAGCGAATTTCTACTGCAAGAAAACATAAAGTAAATATCAGATTTGAACACTTTCAAACCTAGAAAAACGACAAAATCTTCCACAGTATTAATTAGATAAAGGTTTAAGAGTACCATTGTATATCAGGCATTGCCATATTTGCATGGTGGACCACTCGAAATTACGGTTACTGTCCCAATGACATACATACATACGATCAGTGCTTAGGATCCGGAAGATTTTGGCTTCCTGGATCCGGATCCGAATCCGCAAAAATATGCGGATCCACGGATCCGGATCCAAAGGGCAAAATATCAACAAAATATTGAAGAAAAAAATTTACTCTAAAAGCCCAAATCTGAACTAATGAAAAAAGTAAATTATAAAAATTTCCTGATTTCTGAATAAGAATAAGCGGGAAAAAAAATAAGAAAAAAATTTGAAAATTTTACTTTGTTAAAAAAATTCAGTAATCTTATGGAAATAACCTGGATCCGGATCCATTTTTTTCCAGTGCGGATCCAGGATCTTAAGCACTGCATACAATAGCCATGATCTTATGCTGATTTTGGTAACATAGTTTTATTGATGTTTTTAGAAAAAGAATCAATAATTCAAATCTTTGAAGGTATCTATGTTAAGGTGCATGTTTTCTTGAAACATTATTCCCTTTTTAAGGAAAATAAAAAAAAATTTGGTAAAAATTATCCTAAAGAAAAAACTCCTTATTCCTTTATATTTGAATAAAAATGAAATGTGGATGTCCCTATGTCATCGAACTCTACGGTGAGGTAGAGCATGTAGAAGTAGACTGAGAAGTTGTGTCTGATATCCTTCCTATAATTAGACCTCATCAGTTTATAAAGCACTTATCATTTAAAAATATATATCTATTCTGTAAACAAAATTTCCACTCTTTATAATTAAAAATGTTCCCAGAAATATATTAGTATCCTAACATTCAAAAATTAAAAAATATTAATAATCTTTTACTTTGAAATGTTAGTGACCCCAGAAGTATATTTGTATCCTAACATTCACAAATTAAAAAATATTCCCAATCTTTATTATTAAAAATGTTACCAGAAATATATTTGTATCCTAACATTCACAAATTAAAAAATATTAATAATCTTTTACTTTGAAATGTTAGTGACCCCAGAAGTATATTTGTATCCTAACATTCACAAATTAAAAAATATTAATGATCTTTTACTTTGAAATGTTGGTGACCCCAGAAGTACACTTTGAGATAAGTGATACAAAACGTATGTATGTGGTAAAAGGTTAACTAGTTTATAATGTGGTAAACATATGCCTAATTAATGAATATATCTCTGTATATGTGGTAAAGGATACATATTACCTAGTAATGTGGTAATGATACTTAGTAATGTGATAATGATACTTAGTAATGTGGTAATGATACTTAGTAATGTGGTAAAGGTTTCCTGGTAATACGGTAATATGTTACCCAGTATGCGGTAAAGGTTACCTCGTAAGTGGCAATGTGGTAAAGTTTACCTAGTAATGTGGTAAAGGTTGTGTAATGTGGTAAAAGGTTTCCTATATTAATGCTGTAAAGATTCCCTAGTAATGTGGTAAAGGTTATCAAGTAATGTGGTAAAGGTATGCCTTATTAATGAAAATATCTCTCTATATGCAGTAAAGATAACCTAGTGAAGAGGTAAAGATCTCCGTATATGTTGTTAGGGTTACCTAGTTATGTGGTAACAGTATGCCTCATTGATGAAAATATCTCCGTATATGTGGTAAAGGTTACCTAGTAATGTGGTAAAGGTATGCCTCATTAATGAAAATATCTCCGTATATGTGGTAACGGTTACCAAGTAATATGGTAAACGTATGCCTCATTAATGAAAATATCTCCGTATATGTGGTAAAGGTTACATAGTAATGTGGTATAGGTATGCCTCATTCATGAAAATATCTCCGTATATGTGGTAAAGGTTACCTAGTAATGTGGTAAAGGTATGCATCATTAATGAAAATATCTCCGTATATGTGGTAAAGGTTACCTAGTAATGTGTTAAAGGTATGCCTTATTAATGAAAATATCTATCTATATGCGGTTAAGATAACCTAGTGATGAGATAAAGATCTCCGTATATGTGGTTAAGGTTACCTAGTAATGTGGTAAAGGTATGCCTCATTAATGAAAATATCTCCGTATATGTGGTAAAACAATCCAGTAAAAAAGATGAGAGTGACCACAGTGCTCAATACCAATCTAAAAATAGATAACAAATAAATTTCTAAATATCAAATAAATAATAAATAAGTCTGAATGATTTATTAAAAATTAAAAAATAATGATAACACAACCACATTAATTTTTTTTAGAAGTTTATCTCAAAAAAATATTTTACCTGAGTCTAGGCTTGGTAAGATGAAAAACAGAAAACAATCCTGGAAAAAACCAGATTATTTAAATTTTATTGATAAAAATATGTTGCATGTGTGAGTTCAAAGACCAAACAAGAAAGTGTAAGTACTGTAACAAATAAAATTAAATTGAGGGTGGACCCTAAAACAAATTTCCTTTTATAGGCTTCTGTTCCTGAGAGCTGAAATTTAACATCGTACTATAGCCGTGTATAAATTTATTGCCTTTTAAAAAAGTAAGTGCAATCTTAAGTCTGAGTAAATACATAAAAAATACCAAAACATTGTTAACAAAACTCAAAAATAGGGCCACTTAAAAATACGTCGAAAATCCCTTTAACTGATTCCTAATAATGCATATTTTTTAAGTGGTCGCTTTTTATTCTAGAAAATATTAACGAATCCAATTAACTCTGTTAAAATATCATTCTTGGTTAGATAATCACTAGTTACCAAGCAAAAATGTTTCTGTAACAGATGTATCGAAAAAAAACATGATAAGGAGAGGCGATTGGTGCAAGAAAGATCAGCCATTAAAGGGAGTGTTCGCAAAAATGAAAGGGGGATAGGCTGATATCGAATTTAATTCGATCTTTATCGCTACCAATTTTACTTCTATCTGTTACGTCTATGAGGAGAAATGTTTAAAAATGTCTAAAACCCAAGAGCGTAGTATCCATACAAATTCAAATAGTTGCATTTTTCCACTCAGATCGTAACTAAGCTATTGAATTTTAAACTACTCATTCATACACTACAACCTACAATAGTCGAATGCAATTCGATGTATTTGTATGTTTCTACAAAGCCGGATTAAATAAACGGGCTAGTGTTCAAAATAAAATAGACAAATATTGCTTGGGTGAGAAATCGAGCATGTGCAGTTAGTTTCGAAGAGTAATTGAAGGTTTTGTGGCTCGGATGTAGAAATAATGTGGTTGGCAATCCTCCCCTCTCCTACCTAGGTTGTTTGGATAGCAGCTGGCCAGATCAGCTGATTTTAAGCAGTAGGCCTTATTTGAAGATAAACTATACTGTTCTAAATTCCACTTGAGATACTGTGGAATAGGAAGACGACATTTAAGAAGTCTTGAGCGCATTTGATGATGCAGCTAATAATTTACCATTTACTATTTGTAATCAAAAAATGATTCTAACAGTCGTCTTCCGATTTCACAGTTTGATAAGTTCCAATGGAAGAAAACCTAAGTTCACATAAAACCAATAAAACTAGATAAAGAAAAAATGGGAAAACTCTAGAAGTTTTTACCTGATTTGTCTGTGAGAGGAGCGTAGAGAGCTAAGCAATAAATAATTGGATAAATTTTCATATGAATTGCCAGACCGTAGAATAATCCACACAGAACATACAGTTTCTAAACATAAATATAGAATAGTCCACACAGAACATACAGTTTCTAAACATAAATATAGAATAGTCCACACATAACATACAGTTTCTAAACATAAATATAGAATAATCCACACAGAACATACATTTTCTAAACATAAATATAGAATAGTTCACACAGAACATACAGTTTCTAAACATAAACATAGAATAGTTCACACATAACATACCGTTTCTAAACATAATTATAGAATAATCCACACAGAACATACATTTTCTAAACATAGATATAGAATAGTCCACACAGAACATACAGTTTCTAAACATAAATATAGAATAGTCCACACATAACATACAGTTTCTAAACATAAATATAGAATAGTTTAAACAGAACATACAGTTTCTAAACATAAATAGAGAATAGTCCACACAGAACATACAGTTTCTAAACATAAATATAGAATAATTCACACAGAACATACAGTTTCTAAACATAAACATAGAATAGTTCACACAGAACATACAGTTTCTAAACAAATCTACAGAATGCAGGCAACAAAAACAAATAATAACCCACACAGATCAAAACTTGTTGAAATAAAAGTATTGTAAACTATATCTTGTACAGTAACGAGTGTTCCTGTTAACATACAGGTTTAAACTGTTTCTAAACATAAATATAGAATGCACCACACAGAAAATACGGTGTAACGGTATCGAAAAACAAACAAAAAGTGGACAAAACTTGTTTTTAATAATAGTAATCACAGTTAATACTGTTCATTGAACAGTAAAGTGTATACCAGTGGTCAGTGGTAACTTTACAATGTGAATAGTCTATTGTGTACATACTATCTACCAGTTGAATACCTCGTTATAGAAGAATACTGTAAGCAGTACCAGAGCTACAATTATAGATTCAGCAGAGCCACGGGTAGAAACATTCATTACCTGGAAAATCAGCCAATCAAAATCAATCAATCAATCAACCATCCAATCAATTAGTTCGTTTGTCGATTAGTAAATTTCAGTTTGACTCAGTTTAATTTATTTTTTATTACTCCATCAATCCTGAATCCTTTAATCCATGTACGTTCAAACAATCTATCAATCAATCAATCCATCAATCAATGAATAAAATTCATTCATTCATTTATTCATTCATTCATTCATCCTATGAATGAATGAATAAAATACTACTGAATATTACAGTACTTACCAAGGGATTGAAAATCCAAGCTGCAGCCGATAATCTTGCTGTCCCTTCATCAATTCCAATCTGTTGTCTAAATAAAAAAATAAAAATATTTCTATCATGGCTTTAGTTGGGTGTATTATGAGTTTCATTGATATCATTAAAAAATAAATTTTAGTGCGTAAATTGATGGGATTTAAAGATTTAAATGAGAAAAGACTAATAAATTTTAACATTTTCATCATTTTTGTATTTGTATAAAAAAGTAGTACATCTTTATAATGTAAGAAAAACTAAGAACTAGGATATGCAGATTTATGTAACTTTATAACTTCCTGCATTTCTATTTCTATAAGGAATACCATTTCTCTTAATATTACCATTTCATTGATCTTATCAATTATGTTTTTTAATATTTAATTGCTGGAATAATGAACAAAAAGGTCAAAATTTTCCTAAATATACTTAGATGGTTGAGGAGGTCATTCTGGTGTTATTGTTCATTACCCCCCGCCCCCTACCCCTTTATTTCTCCATGGTTACCTTACAACCGCGAATATGAGGAACCCGCTGAGGATATCGAAGACGACAAATATAAGCTTCCCAAAGACAGGGCTCAGAAATATGTTCGGGGTGAGCAGGTACGCTAAATACAGAACATTTCATTTTTGTAGGTTTTCAAACACAGCCCTTCAAGCTTAAAAGTCATTGAAATGAAAAAATCTTCGAGAAATAAATCACCAATTAAATTAAAATGTTAAAACCTGATATGGAACTATTTTTGTAATTAGGGGAACTGGGAAATATTCCAATTTTTTTTTATTGGGAGAACTGGGAAATATTCCCATTTTTTTGTTATTGGGAGAACTGGGAAATATTCCCATTTTTGTCATTGGGAGAACAGGGAAATATTCACATATTTTGTTAATGGGAGAACTGGGAAATATTTTCATATTCTGTTATTGGGAGAACTGGGAAATAATCCAATTTTTTGTTATTGGGAGAACTGGGAAATATTTTCATATTTTGTTATTGGGAGAACTGGGAACTATTTCCATATTTTGTTATTGGGAGAACAGGGAAATATTCCCATTTTTTGTTATTGGGAGAACAGGGAAATATTCCCATTTTTTTGTTATTGGGAGAACTGGGAAATATTTCCATATTTTGTTATTGGGAGTACTGGGAAATATTTCCATATTTTGTTATTGGGAGAACTGGGAAATATTCCCATTTTTTGTTATTGGGAGAACTGGTAAATATTCCCATTTTTTTGTTATTGGGAGAACTGGGAAATATTTCCATACTTTGTTATTGGGAGAACTGGGAAATATTCCATTTTTTGTATTTTGGGGAACTGGGAAATATTCCCATTTTTTGTGTTTTGGGGAACTGGGAAATATTCCCATTTTTGGTAATTTGGGGATCTGGGAAATATTCCCATTTTTTGTATTTTGGGGAACTGGGAAATATTCCCAATTTTTGTATTTTGGGGAACTGGGAAATATTCCCATTTTTTGTATTTTGGGGAACTGGGAAATATTCCCAATTTTTGTATTTGGGGGAACTAGGAAATATTCACACAATTCTATCTTATTAAGGATTTTAAAGTCCTCCAACTCTTTATTTTCTACTTTTTTTGTTACAAAATAAGAATGATCTATAGAACATTTTCATCTATTTGCCATGCACTTGCAAGAATACAGAGGTATAAATTCAAACAAATAATGAGAGTTTTTGAGGGGTGGGGAGGGGGTACAATAATACTTAAGCTAAAATACTTTTAAAATTTCAAATTACCATAAACCTTTAAGTCTCAAATGAAAAAAAAACATATAACAGTAAAACAAACTAAAATATTTTTTTCAATTTAAAAATCTTATTACCTATTATAGGAGAATATCTGTAGGTGTGTCTTTCAAATGGTGACCGACCCTCATTCACATGCCTACGTATACAAAAGAAAATTAATCTATATAATAAAACAAGACATTCGTATTTATATATATATATATATTGCGTATAGCCGGCCGAACGGCTGGCTGATTGCGCTGAAATTTTTTGTGGACACTCATGTGTTATAGGCTGAAAAAATCAAAATATTTTTTCTTTTTTTAGATTTTTTCCACGGGCAACGCCGGGCCCTTCAGCTAGTTTTTAATAAAATATTTCCTTCATTTTTCCTCGTAAAGGAATTCTCGATGTGACCTTCAAATAAAAGAAATAGATAATTCAGAAGGGAACCCAAATAACCTTTATCTAAGTAGCAATATGGAAATCCTCGACTTTGAAAAATCACTCATTTCTACAGTTTCTTAAGGGTACAAACCACCTACCTTGCCGCATCTGTGAACACTGTGTAATCAATGTCTGTATATTTCACTTCACTTGTGCTATCATGGTACTGACTGTATCCTATAGTAGAGAATAAGCGGAAAATTAAGTCAATATAAAGTTTTTAAAATAGATTAGGATTTTTTACAAAAATGCATTCAAACTTTAATTTGAAGGTTTTTTCAAATACAAATTCTTAATCATATCAATGTTTAAAATTTAAAAAAAACAGATTATTTTCAACTGTGATTTCTCTACAAGAGTTACTTGCGCATTTCTATTAAAGAAAACTTGGAATTATAGTTTAATACTTGTAAACTTTTTGTTGATCAGAAAAAGGTCACGTGAAAAAACGCATTCAGTCTTTAAATTAAAGGATCACTCGAGATCTTCTTAATAATGAACGTAACTTTTCAAGGAAAAAACTTTATTATGTTTTAAAAAAGTGAAGCGCCTTTTCGAGATTTATTCAATTTATTTATAATAAAAAATGCCATCCATGAATTATCGTAATTTTAATTTGTTATGTGCATTTTTTGAAACAAATATGGATTTAATTAAAAAATTTATAAAATGCATGACTTTGTGTAACAAATCTAAACCTTATTTAAAAAAATGTAACCTTTAATTGTTTTACGTGAAGTTCAATCAATAATTACCTATTAATATAACCCTGAGAAGAGTTCCCAAACTGAGCAGTGTAACTATACTCATACTTTTCACCCATTCTACCAGGATCTTCATTTTTCTGAAATCCGTGAAAATATCTTAAACCAAAAATCCGGGAAACTTTGCTGACTCAGGATTTTTCAGTTGAAACAAATAATGAACTGTTCCAGCCAGTCCCTAAAACATTTAGTTCCTTTGATCAGACCAGAAAAAAGTTTTTGTTGGTTTGTTGAATTTAAATGGGCGTTCTTGAAAAGTAAACACCTGATAATTCATAAATAGATTTGAGTTTGAAATAATTCTCCGACGACATTTAATAAATTTCTGGGGGTTGGGTATTATGAACCGATATCAATTCTGGCTCGGTGGAAAAAAGACTCAAGATAAAAATGAATAAAGTGGATGAAAAGGATCTATTTCCTCAAACAAAGATAGCGGAGAGTCGGCTAATCTGTGAAAATATTCCTTGAACTGTGAACAGTGCAATCCAAACATGGCCGCTCTGTACAACCATTTTGTGTCCTTAGCAGTTACAAAAATAAATAATCTCTAAAAATCATAATAAAGAAAAGAGGATGATGGAGATGTCATATTTGATGTAGGGGGGGGGGGGGAGCCCTGCCTTCAGTTTTGGTTCAAATCTTCCAATTTTTTGGCTGCACGCTTATTAGTGATCGAAATTTCTAAAATAAAATAAAATTGAATTTTAATGACGTCTTATGACCTCCACAAATAGAAAATATTTCAACTATGGCTTTATGCTTATCAAACGAAAGCTAGGAAACCAGGGAATACAGTGGCAGCAACAAATCCAGTGTTTGAACTTCTAATGACCTCTTACGACGTCTAATGACCTAAATGACCTCCAAAAATGAAAATGTTTTAACTATGGCTTCATGAATATCAAACGAAAGCTAGGAATACAGGGAAAACAGGAGCAGCAACGAATCCAGTGTTTAACCTTCTAATGAGCTCTTACGACCCTACATCCAATATGACATCTACGCCATCCCCTTTTTAATAACCAATAATATCCATAAAAACACACGGAAAGGAGCCCATTGATATAAGATGTGGTAGAATTAGTTTTCTAGTCCAATCTTGGACCCACTTGAGAAGTAGTTTAAATATCCGTACTTGATTTAACAACATCAAGCTATTTTTAATAATTCCGACCGCATGGGACTCATGAGTCACTAAACCTTAAAACCTTGGATAAGAAATGACGTGGATTTCTACGATGGCCACACAGTCTTAAAAATCAAACTTTAGAAAAATCACTTGTCTTGCTTATATGGTGGCTTTAAAGTATTTATTAAATTGTATTAATGTCTAATTAATTTCTAAAGATTAAATAAAGAGATTAGACAGTCCTGTGTTGCTTGATACAGATGAACTAATCCATATCCATTCCCAGCAGATCCGTGGCATAGTCCAGATCCCTTCCTTAACAACCCCCGCTCCCAAATACATTCCCCTCCTTAAAAGTTTGTAACTATTGAAGTTTTGAACATCAAACAAATTGCAGCAATAACAGTCAAATAAATGAAAAGATTTACAAAGTAAATAAAAAATGCCTTTTTTATTTGAAATTTGGTGGTCTCCAATAACAGACAACTCTAATAAATTGATGGGAGATGGGAATTTTTGAATGGCGTATCATAATCTTGAACACTTGCTCTCGATATCTAATGTGAGCAATTTCTAAATTTAAGGATCGTTGCTTGATCCCTCAATTGAAGTTATGATCACAATGAGATATCAAAGAAGAACTTAATCCATCCATAGGTCTGTACAAGATGAAGAACAACACTTAATCAATCCATAGGTCTGTACAAGATGAAGATCAACACTTAATCAATCCATAGGTCTGTACAAGATGAAGAACAACACTTAATCCCAAGATTCCCGAGTCACAACAGAATAGTTTTGACCTCAGGACACCAAAAAAAAGTCTTAAGCATAAACACATAAATGTTTAGTTTTATATAGTGTACCATTGTATGTAAGTTTTAATTCTCAGGCACTCAGTTCATTTCTTAAAATAAACTAAATTTATTTCAAAATCACATTATCTTTAGTAGCTCTAAGTCTCCAAAAAGCAGAATTGTACAAAATTCTTAAGTTTAAAAACCTTTTATTGCCGCATTCATGTATTTCTCCTCCTTCCACTGAGCATATGCAAGAAGAAGAAGATATATGACTCCTAAATACTTTTTTTAAAGTCCATTTAATTTCAAAACATTGTTATAAAATTTTAGAACAAAAATCTTGTCAATTATTAAAAAGAAGGTTGCTATAAATATAGATATTAGATTTATAGCTATTTCACCTGAAAACAGGAGTAGTATTTTTTAAACAAAAAAATCAGTAACGAATGTTAAAAATGAATTTTTATGCAAAGCAAGTTTGAGGTTTTTTACCCGGTATTCCGTGACACCAATGAACCAACTTATCATTATCATTTCCCTAAAATATATTTGTTAAAGAGACTGTAGACGGAATTTAGAGTGACCCTCCACTATAGACTTGTCTATCTCAGATTCAAGCAATATTTGTAGGTAGAGTTGGATTCCTGTTGTTTGCAATGTCCCGTAAAATTCCAAAACAGAGAGCGAGGGATTGAATTTTGTAGATCCAGAAAAATAATTAAATTATTATTTATTTAGGATTAGGTTAGGTTAAGACACTTTCTGGGCCGAACGCTGCGGCTAGGACAGACTAGGGGGCCAAGCGCTGTGGCCACATGTCTTACATTTAAGACCCCACCAGCTGCCAGTCTCTACGCAGGCATCCCACAGATATTATTTTTCTGGATCTACAAAATTCAATCCCCCTCTCTCTGTTTTGGAATTTTACGGGGCATTGCACACTACAGGAATCCCACTCTGCCATATTTTATGGATCAAGAAAACATTTCGAAAAATACTTAAATTTTGGCTCCTCCCCCCGAACATCCTTGAAGTTATCTCTGGATAGTCTGATAATCGACGACAAAGGCACTCAATTTTTAACTTCAACGAAAATTACGGAGCAAAGGTAAAAAGGGTACTGTTGTGAATTGGACATGAAAACTTTAAAAGTAAAAATTTATTTAAAATTACGTCTCAGTTCCTTTAAGAAAACTTGAAATCAAATATATAGGAAAGCCTATATGATAAAGCACATATATAGCTGCCTAAACGACTAGACCGAATAGGCTGTAATTTTTTAGTAAACTCATGGGTAAAAAAGCTAAAAAAATCTAATATTTTTTTTAATTAAAAAATTTTTCTTCAAAATTAAATGTTTTGTTTAATTCCAGGGGCTACGCCGGGCACTACAGCTAGTAATAAATAAAACAATCACCCCAATAAGTCCGGAGAAGGATAAAAATGTAACCTGAGATGACGGAAAGTTACCACTAGGAAACATTTTATCCAACAAATAGTCAATACTTGGCTTTACCAGTTCCCTAAATTAAGTTATTTTTTAACAATTTATTATTTAATTTTTTCATTTAATTGGTTACTGTTAATACAGAAAAATTCTAAAAAAAATCCGTACAATCCGTGCAATTTTTGAGAAAAAAAAATCCGTACAATCCGTTTAATTTTTGAAGAAAAAAAATCCGTACAATTTTTGAAAAAGAATCCGTAAAAACAGAACATTTAAGAAAAATAAAACCCTTTTTGAAAAAACAAACACCAAAATTCAATTTTTCTTGTTGAAATTTTTATTCTTTGTCCTTTGTGTTCATGTTTGAGGGTTTAAACTTCTTCAGCATAACAAGTCCTTACATTGCTTTTAAATTATCTTTGAAAAATTACCTTCATACATACATATACAGGGTGAGTCAAAAAAAAGTGTGATTTACGGCGCCTGGTGCAAAAGTGAACCTTTTTTCGTGCAACTCTCCTGTATGGAGATTATATAATATTTTTTGAATATTTTTTTAACTTTTTTTTGGTACTTCCAATTGCCAAAAAAAATCCGCGAATTCTTTTTTTCTCTCAAAATCAAAAGTTTAGAAAAGCAAAAATGTGTATATAAATTATTTCTATCGAAATCTAAAATTTTATAAAGATTGAATCACAGAATCACAGAAAATTGGCAAAATTGTAATAAGAAAATTCGCAATTTTCAGTTCTGTTCTAATTTAAAGGAAAAGTTGTTTTTAATGGTTCTTCAAGTTTCAATTGAGCAGCGTATATTTTTTAACTTTTGTATATACTAAGAAGAAAGGAACTAGAGAATTCAAATAACTTTTCCTTAAAAATTAGACCAAAACTGAAAATTGCGAATTTTTTTGTTACAATTTTGCCAATTTTCTGTGATTCAATTTTTATTAAATTTTAAATTTCGATAGAAATTAACATATACTATAGAATACTATATACTATATATATACTATATACTATATACTATAGAATATTATTAACATATACACATTTTTGCTTTTCTAAACTTTTGATTTTGACAGAAAAAAAAGGTTCGCGGATTTTTTTTGGACCATAAGAGTACCAAAAAAAATTTAAAATTTTCAAAAAATATTGAAAAAACGCCATACAGAAGAGTTGCACAGAAAAAGTTACACTTTTGTACCAGGCGCTCTAAATCACACTTTTTTTTGACTCACCCTGTATATACTAGAAGATCAGAACGTGAAACAAGTAAATTAGGATGAGAATGAGAGGAGAAATAGGTAAATTAGGATGAAAATGAGATGTTAGAAACAAATAAATTAGGATCAGAATGAGAGGAGAAACAAGTAAATTAGGATGAGAATGGTCTTGTTGGTTGAGTGCCTGGGGTTGGATAAGGACTGAATATATCCTAGTCCTACCTTAGTTCTTGTTGGTTGAGTGTCTGGTATTGGAGAAGGACTGAATATATCCTAGTCCTACCTTAGTTCTTGTTGGTTGAGTGTCTGGGATTGGAGGAAGACTAAATATATCCTAGTCCTACCTTAGTTCTTGTTGGTCGAGTGTCTCGGATTGAAGAAGGACTAAATATATCGGTAGTCCTACCTTAGTTCTTGTGGGTTGAGTGCCTGGGATTGAAGTAAGACTGTATATATCCCTGACAACCCATGAGCAGCTCCATAGTAACGTTTACCATGCCACTCATACATCAGAGGACATCGGGATCTGTAGTAAAAAAAATGACATTTCACAAAAATGTAATTTTATACACTGAAAGATAGTTGAACAGAGCTGAAAACATTAGAATTGGATACTTATTACCGATAACTTAATCTGAATATCCAATGTGTGCACTAAAGATTTAAACTCTTTTACCCTTTTTTTTAAACTATACCCACAGGATTCCGAACAATGAGAGTTCGCTCATTAAATGGATACAAACTTAAAATTAAATCAATCTTGAGATTAACAAAGAGAAGAGAATCAAGCATTGATCTCACTATCCAGCTCAGAATACTTAAGGTCTGGCCTTTTTTCTCATAAATATTGAGAGTATTTATTTTAATTTTTATACTTTCTTTTTACTTTTTATACTGTATACACGCTATTACAGTTGTTTGGAAATAGGGATATTCAGTAAAATATCTACTCATAAACACTGAACAGTAGTTTGAGTAAAATATATACCTCTAAACACTGAACAGCAGTTTAAGTAAAATATTTACTCCTGAACACTGAACAGCAGTTTAAGTAAAAAATCCACTCATAAACACTGAACAGCAGTTTAAGTAAAAAATCTACTCCTAAACACTGAACACCAGTTTAAGAAAAAAATCTACCTCTAAACAATATTAACTATGTACCCCTGAAGACTAAAGAGCGCCTACCTAGTTTCCCTAGACAGATATTGTCCTGAGCGTAGTATAAGGATTACAACCTTCCTAATTAAACAGTCAGGAACCGACGTTGCTCCAACCTCTTTCCTATTTAAAAGGTTTTAGAAACATTCCGAGTTTATTTTTAAGTGACTCTCTAATAGGAAAGTGCCTAAGTCACAATGGTACCATTAAAACTTACATCTGAATAGTAGTGAACAAGAAATCGTCATTTTTCTGTCACAAAAGCGATAAATTTATAAATATATAGGCGAGTTGTTATATGGCGAGTCGATATATGGCGAAATGATATATGGCAAAATGTTATGACGAAATGTTATATGACGAAATGTTATATGGCGAAATGTTATATGGCGAAATGTTATATGGCGAAATGTTATATGGCGAAATGATATATGGCGAAATGTTTTATGGCGAGATGTTAAATGGCGAAATGTTAAATGGCGAAATGTTCAATGGCGAAATGTTCAATGACAAAATGTTAAATGGTGAAATGTTAAATTGCGAAATGTTAAATGGCAAAACGTTAAATGGAGAATTGTTATATGGCGAAGTGTTTTATGGCGAGATGTTAAATTGCGAAAGTTAAATGGCGAAATGTTCAATGGCGAAATCTTCAATGACAAAATGTTAAATGGCGAAATGTTAAATGGCAAAATTTTAAATGGCAAAATATTAAATGGCAAAATGTTAAATGGCGAATTGTTAAATGGCGAATTGTTATATGGCGAAATGTTACTGAGCCTTAAGTGTCGCTTAAAGTAACAGCCAAGTTTGTAAGTTAAAAATAAATATATTTTCGATAGGTTTTCATAGAAATTCAAATATTTTCATGTTTTCTTTTAAATAAAGCGAATTCTTTTAATTTAAGCCAACTTAAAAGATAAGGAAAACTTATACCTCACAAACAGCAATGAGAACAGATATCCTGACCTACCATACAGCATTTCATCAGGCAATTCTGACAAATGTTCATTCTTCCCTTTTTGATTTGGAATTTGTATAAATCATATTAAAAGTTTGGGATTGTTATACAGTGGAACCCGTAAAACTGTGAAACAGAACGACGACATTAAGGCAATCTATAATACTTTTTATCTATAATAAAGCAATTGGTTTTACTAGTATCTCGCAAACAACTTGTCAGTCGTCTTCCTATTCCACAGTTTTATGGGCCTCACAGTAATCTATGATTGGCATTGTTTTAACTTTTAGATTGGGTTGTTTTTTGAGGCAGCCATGTTTTAATGGAAAAACAAACATTATAATCTCAGTTTTTAAGAATAATCAAAATCTTTTGGAAAAACAATAATTTTCCTTGGTTGTCGACTAACCCCACCATTTCTAGAAGATAATTCAAATATTTCTGAGATTTCTTCTGTTCCCCTAAAACTGTAGCAAACACATTTATATAAGAACAAATGTTAATGTCTTTTACGTTTTTCTTTAGGCTTAAAGGGACTGAAAGCATTATCTCAAGTTTGCATCCATACAAAAAGGTAAAATGCTCGAATTAAAACGGTACCCTTTAAACTTTTCATCGAAAATAGAGAGCTCTATGTCACGTGTGTAAACGTAAACCTATTGAATAACCGTCGAATCGTTCTAAACCCCGTTTTATGCTGCGTATAGTGTGAACTCAACAGTTATCACGCTGATCCGTTACGTAAAGGTTTTTTAAAGGGTATCGTTCTGAATCAGGGATGCACCTCTTTACATGGAAGTTCACTTATAACTACGCTTACAGTCCCTTTGATAAAAAAAATTTTCATACCACTTCATTAAGAAAATTTCCTTGCCAAAAATTTTAACTTCTAAATAAAATAAATACTTTTTAAAATTCATTTTATAACCCGGATATAATTTTCGACTGAAACCAAATTAATCAAAGATGCACAAATATAAAAATTAAAAATATTCATAATATCCCGGATATGTATATTAAATAGACAGGAACAACATTTATCAATGCTTCGTTAATCTATAAACTAAAAATATAGATAATCACCCGGATACAAACTTCCGGGAAGGGTGCATGGGAAGCAAGAAATAAGCGAAAAATTACAAATTTTTTTCATGGTCCACAGATTTTACATATTTAAACAACAGTTAACTGTCACGCTGGAGGATCACCTGAAATAACTACTTTAATCCCTTTATTCCTGAAAGAATGTTTATGTGTAAATTTTCATTAAATTCGATAAATGTAACTAGAAAAATATTCCTAAAAGATTATAATTAGTTCGCTCCCTGAATATATAACTGCAGCTAGTGCCAGGGGTCCTGCATTCCCGCATAGAAAAGTTACTCTTTTCCCTTCAACACTTTCTAACAATACACAACTAAAAACCTTTTCAGTGATAACAAGGTGGTGTCCTTTTCGACCTAAGCAAATCCGCTATACTTCAATTTTGACCTACGACAAATCCACTATACTACACACCCGACCTTCAAAACACGTGGTTTTACAGCTGCTAAATGAACTTGTGGCCTCAACGCCCGGCCCCCTAGCCTTTCTTAGCCGCGGCGCTCGGCCCGCAGCCTGTCCTAGCCGCAGCGCTCCGCCCAGAAATTGTCTTAACCTAGCCTAACCCTCATATAAAAACTAAACAGCTGGCGTAGGTCCGATATTGCAGTAGGTCGGAAAGTTAGTAGTTCAGAAGTTCAGTAGGGGGGATGTTGCGTATAGACGATGTAACAATATCGAAACAAACCTACAATAATCTTACTCGGAGTTAAAATCTTGTTTTCAGTTGCATAATAAAAACCATTCGAAGGTTTATAATTCTAAAATCAATTTAGGTATACGATCGTTTCATATTGCACTGTATACGTAATTTTAATGTCAATAGAGGGTCACTCCATTGACAGAGTGCCATGTCCGATTCAATATGAAGTAAAAAATCTGACATTTTTCATCATTGTCTCTGCATCGTCACTTCCATAGACTAACCAGTAACCACGAATGAAAATAATCAGCTAGAAAAACTAGAATATCTCATTCATTAATCGAGTGGAGGGTTGCTAGAATTTACGTCTTCAGTAACCAGTTTCATTAAATAAAATATTACAGGTCAATACATGAAAATCCGTTATTGTAGAAATTTCCTTTCAAAGTTCCGAGACATTTGTCTATAATTTGCTGCGCTTCTTGCAACATATTCATTCTGTAGTAGAGGAAAGCGAACCCTGCCTCTCCTTAGGATTGAAAAAGAATCACATTAGATGTAAACCCCTTGTCAATCTCAATTCAAACGCATCATTGTGAAAATAATTAGGCCCTCGGCCCCACTATTTACAAATCAAATCAAATTACATGTTTATTATATAAAGATAGCGAGGAAATGATCACGAATAAATATGTACAATAAAGTTTTCCATTGGCGCAAGTTAAAACTAAGTTTCAAGAATGATAATCAAATGATTTCTTATGAAAATATGTTCCCTCAAAAAGACTTCGATGATAAATAATCTAAATGCAATACAGATTTTTAGTGCTGAAATTCAACTTTTTGAAAAGGAAAAAGTCCCATTTTGCAATTTACTCCAGATCGTGGGAAATCATTTCTATATGGGAAGCAGGGGGGGGGGGGGG